AAGCAAGAGCAGAGCAGAAAGGAAATCCTGAGCACGCAGCCAGCCCCGCGAGCTGTGGAAGGCAGCGTGTGACACCTGCCACCCCAGCACGTCTGCGCTGCCCCTCTCAGGCTGCGGGTCACCACCCAGAATGACTTCACTGCCGGCCCGGGCTCCTCCTGCTACGCTGCTAAGGAAGTTCAGATAAAATCACCTACTGGGAGTGCTCGGGGAGCCTAAATGACAAGAAAAGGTGTTGTTGTTTGATCCCATTGACGGAACCACATAGATTTACCACAGAGGGAGATCAGCTCTCTTGCCAGTGTCTGCTTTAGAATCTAGGAATATTTTCCAAAAAAATTTTTTTCAATTTTATTTGTTTTAATTGATTTTAAAACAAATAAAATAAAATCAAGAGAAAGGGAGAGGGAGAGGAGATAGAAACATCGATGAGAGAGAACATCGATTGGCTGCCTCCTGCATGCCCCCCACTGGGGATTGGGCCCACAACCTGGGCATGTGCCCTGACCAGGAATCGAACCAGTGACCTCCTGGTGCATGGGTCGATGCTCAACCACTGAGCCACACCAGCTGGCTCAAAAGTTGTTGTTGTTTTTTTCTTTAATTTTTAGAGAGAAAGGAAGGGAGAGGGAGAGAGAGAGAGAAACATCGATGAGAGAGAACATCTATTGGCTGCCTCCTGCATGCACCCCACTGGGGATTGGGCCCACAACCTGGGCATGTGTCCTGACCGGGAATCAAAGTGGTGACCTTTTGGTGCATGGGTCAACGCTCAACCACTGAGCCACACCGGCTGGGCTGGTTCAAAAGATTTTACAGAAAGTTCCATACCCTGATATTTGCAAACTCCACCTTACATTTTAAGATAAACTACATTTTGAAGTAAATACTGATTTGATTCACATAATCTCCATGAAAGGGAAAGATTTATTAACAGTCTAGTAGCAGTAAGTTTGGACTCTGGGCTCTTGGGTTCAAATCCCAGCTGACTTTTCTTCTTTTGGTTAATCTTCACCGGAGGATTTTTAGATAGAGCGGAAGGGAGAGAGGGAGAGAGAGAGAGAGCAACATTGATGTGAGAGAGACACTTCGATTGGTTGCCTCCTGCATGATCCCGACCGGGGCCAGGGATTGAACCTGCAACCCAGGTACCTGCCCTTGACCGGGAATCAAGCCCGAAACTTTTCAGTCCACAGGCCAATGCTCTATCCACTGAGGCACAGCAGCTGGTTTTTACTAGTGAGATGACTTTGGCAAAACACCTAACCTCTCCCTGCCAAATTTTTCTCACCCATAAAATGGAGAGAATGATAGCATACAATTTGTTATAAGGATTAAATAAAATGGATTGGTCAGGATGTCCAATACATAGTAAGCAATCAACAAATATTTTCAGTTGTCATTTTCTTCAAAGGAAAAAAAAAAAAAAAAAACATATACAGGGTGGGGCAAAAGTAAGTTTACAACTGAGAGGACATGAGCCCTGGTTGTTTTTCTCAGTGGTTAGAGCAGCAGCCCACTACCAGTGAGTCGCAGATTCTATTCTGGTCAAGGGCACGTACCTCGCTTGTGGTTTGTCCCCAGCCTTGGTTGGGTCATCCGTGAGGCAACCAGGTGCTGTGTCTCTCTCACATCTATGTTTCTCTTTCTTTCCCTCCCTCCCTTCCACTCTATCTGAAAATAAACAGAAAACTATCCTTGGGTGAGGATTTAAAAAACAACAACTGCGAGTACATGAAACACAAAGTTTATTCTTGTATTATTATTTAGTGCATTATTTTCTATACGAACAACTGCAAACCTACTTTTGCCCCATCCTGTATTTTTCAAGACCTTCTTTCTCAAATGTTAGAGATATCCTGAACAAGGGTTCTAGCTAAAATAATATAGAAAAAAAAACCAAAAAACCCTTCAACTTAAAATAAATGAAATACTTGAAAAGATGAGCTATGAACAAAAGCAACAATGCACTTCTTAATATTACTGTTTAAAGTATCTGAAACTTACAAGATAATAATACATGCTGAGACCCATGGAAAAGATGGCCAAGGAAACAAGGGAAATACATAAAATATAATTACATGTAATGCATAAAAATAATTACACTAAACACCACTGACCAAATAGGTAAACTGTGTCATCAGTTCCAAGGGGCCCAAAGTTTGTTCCACATGATTCAGCAACCAAAAGTAGGGGCCAAGATTTGCAAGGTGTCAGCCAGTTCATGTAAGGTTAAGTGCTTATTAAATTACTTTTCCTAGTGCTAATTTCACAAGCAGTTTGGGGAAATAAATTTACTTGGAAATAAAGACACTGAACACTAGAGACTGGAAAAGCCAACTGCACCCAGAGAAAGTACAGCAATATTAATCAACTCGTCCAGGGATCAAAGAACCTATTCATACTTTTCCCCAAATATTTACCATTCCCAACTGGCCAGGCACATGGCAATTAGAAGACATACAAAGAAGGATAAAGCAGTCCCTACCCTGTGGTCCATAATCCGATGCAGAAAATGAAGAAAGATGACATTTTAATACAGTTCTTTGATGGGTAAACATACAGTCGTGGCACCTAATTCAGCCCTAAGGGGCCACGGAAGGATTCGCAGAGAAGGTCATACCGAGCATGGAGCCAGGAAGAGTCAGAGTGAACTGGGGGAAGGGCTGAGATAGTGTCAGAACCCTCCAGGCAGAGGGAGCAGCATATACAAAAAGCACCTCGGAATGGGGAGCCACTTCTCGACTCCCTGCTCCCCAGTGGCTTCCCGTTACCTTAAAATCCTCCATTCTTACCATGGCCTTAAGGGCCTCACTCATCTCTCAGTATTCTCTCCTCACTGCCTGCCCTCTGGACACTCTGGCCTCCTTGCTGAGATAAAATACAATGAGCACATCCCTGCTTCGAAGCCTTCATCCCTGTTGTGCCCTCTGTCTGGGATGCTCTCTCACCAGATATCTGCAAGGCTCACTTTGTTCAAACGTCACCTTTTCAGTGATGTCTTCCATGACCCTCCTACCTACAATTTCTCACCACTGTCAGTGAGTATCTTCTTCTTTCTAGCACTCAAAACTCTGTATTCTACATTCCTCTTCGTGTGCTATCCATTTAAGGTCTACCTCTAATTAGAACGCAAGCTCCGTGGGGCATTGGCTTTGTGTGTCTGGTCCAGGGCACACTTCCAGTGCCCATAACTGTGCTTGCATGTGGTAAGGGCTCGATGAATTTTTGTTGTATGTTTAATGAATTAACAAATGGCCAGAAAGCAGAGAGGAGACTTGGATGGTTTAGAGACACTCAGTTCAGCATGAAGGGAGCAGAGCATGGAAGGGGAGAAGCAACAGAAGATGCTGTTGTAAGTCTGTTCAGGGGCTGGAGTAAGTGTTTTCTAGGTTTGACAATTCTTCAACTTTCCTTATTTTGGTCTTGCCATCATACTCATCCCATTAGCAAGAATAGTTCAGACATTTTCAGTTATTGCTAGTCCCAATTCGCACAGTGTGGTCAGCCAGATCCCAAGAGACAAACTGTAGCTTCCTTCCTTGGAAATAACATGTTTTTGACAACATAGAATCTTATAGCTTGAAGGAACCATCATGATAATTTAAATACCTAACACCTGCTAGGATTTTCCAAAAGGAACCAAGAAAGTAAAAGAAACCAGCAACAAAACATGTACACACACTCAAGCAGACAACAGAAGCATTGATGGGTCCCTTCCATTCAAATTCATGTGTCAGATGAGGTTTTTCCTATAATTCAATACGAGAAGCAAGTGACAGGTGAACTAATACGTATTGGGCATTAAGTACTTGGACTTAATCCCAGCTTGAGAAATAGAGGTAAACAGAACTGGGACAGAGGCAGGACACAGGGGGGACAGAATCAGGGGTGGTCATCACTATCTGTTAATATCCAAAATGGTTTCCCTGGCCAGTGTTGCTCAGCGGTCAGAGCATTGGTCTATGCACCGAAGGGTCACAGGTTTGATTCCCAGTCAAGATCACATACCTGGGTCAAATGGTTTTCATCAGTGGGGTCTAACAACATACCCGAGTTACTGAACTACATGCTTAAGTACTTGACACCATTTATTTTTTAAATTCCCACAAAGAATTACACACCTAGGAGGTATATGCTATCACCACTCTCATGGCGTAAAAGAGGACACTGAGGTTTACAAAGGCAAGGTGACAGGGCTAGAATGCAACACTGTCTCGCTCCTAACCATCATGATACTTAATCCGCCCACTGGGCCCCTCTCCCCCTGCACCAATCCACCCACTACAGAGTAGGCTCTTTTATGTGATTGACACATATTTTCAACTCCCTGGACCATTGAAAGGCAACCCGGGGGAGGGGGGTACCATTGCTCCTGCACTCCTTTCTTGTTGGGTTTCCCAGGGAAAGAAGGAAGGTAGGATGGAATAGGAACCACAGAAATAGCAGATCAGCTCAGAGAACACTGGGGAGATTCAAGATCCACCAACCAAATACTCCGTGACCACAGTCTATTCATTTATCAAAATGCTGAGGGATTCTTCCCCCTTAGATCATCCTGCTGTCTGAAGTTCTCTCACTACTCCTTTCTGGACCTGAACTTCAACTTCCACTGCATTGACACTGCATCTCGAGTCATTTGCAAGACTACACCTCCACGTCATACAACAGATTTAACAGAGAGGAGGGGCAACTGCATCATTTGATGGCAAACATCAAGCTCCAACCTTCTGTTTCTACTTCTGGGGTTTTGTTCAATTGTCTTAAATATAGAAAACACTATTTAAATAAATTCTTTATGAAGCATCTCAGGAAACTGACTTAATTCCTGGCAAAGAGAAAAGCAAACGAGTGATCAAGGTTTCTCATTATTAAAGGAACAGTTATGTAACCATCCCACGTGGAAGAGCCAGGCTCAAATCAACATGATAAAAGACGAAAATAGCCCTGCTTCTCTCTACAAGTTAAGGTTATAGGGGCGGATTTTATGTGCAACATACTTCTCATACAGCCTCTGTCCTCTCATGAAGGCCTTCACTTCGTTGTCCAATGGGAAGGTGCCATCATCCTTTCTAAAGCGGTAGAATAGTTTCACATCCTTGAATTCCTTGTGCTCATCACACACTGAAACACAATACACAGAGAGGGGCAAACAAGAAAAAAAAAAAATTGTATTTATTTACTCAAATGAACTAACATACTAATTAAGATTTGTTTTACTATCTAACTTCTCAAATACTCTACTATATAATTTAACACATGGATGGTATTTAGCACAGTACTTGGAACAGAGTAAGTGCTCAATGTTATTAGCTATCATATCATCATCATCATCATCATCTGTTAAAAAGGTCACAAAATTCAATTCATCATTCATTCTAAAAACTGTTTTAGCATGATATTGGGATGTTATCAACTGTAAAGAATGTGAAATTGCTCGGCAGGTGTGCTCAGTGGTTGAGCATCGACCCCATGCCCTAAGAGGTCGCTGGTTCGATTCCTCGTCAGAGCACATGCTCGGTTTGTGGGCCTGTTCCCCAGTGGGAGGCATGCAGGAGGTGGCCAACTGATGTTCTCTCTCATCAATGTTTCTATCTTTCTCTCTCTCTCCCTTTCTCCCTCTAATATCAACAAAGAAAAGAAAAAAAAGAATGTAAAATCTAGCGAGATAAAGAGAAATGTCAACATGTAATTAAAATGTGGTATGAAAAGGCCATGAAAGAGAGGAGGAGATACTGGCAGCCCCAAGGAGGAGTACCTAGCAACCCAGCCTTGGGGACTGGATGCTTCTCCAGTGAACTGCAATTGGGCAAAAATGAAGGGAATGGGCATTCCAGCCCGAGTGAATAACGGCACGTGCAAGATCTGGGCCAGGGTTAGAGACTTCAAGGAGACATGTCCACGAATACTCATTGCACCATTGAGAGTAACAGCAGAAGCTTGGAAACAACTTAAATGTCCATGGGTAAATGTATGACAGCACAATTCCACACAGCATACACAGCAATGAAAACGAGACGCACTATCAATGCAGATAAGTCTCCCCAAAAGCATGTTGATCAAGCTGCAAAAGAACAAGCACGCGTCTCTGTAATCATTTAAAAAAACACAAGTTGCTAAAAGATGCGTAATAAAGAAATCCATGGAAAGAAACCCAAATGCCTCTTGGAGGGCGGGAGGAAATGGAGCTGGGAAAGGTACACAGGAGCCAAAGTAAAATGTTGTGTTTCTCAGAGGGGAAGGTCCCTATCTGGAGTAGAAGATGCCGTCCTTCATTTCCGCTCACGTGCCTTCGACTGTCCCCCACTCACCGTGGTGAATGATGCCCCGGTCCGCTAATTTCTGCATGAGTTTAATCGCCGTCTCTCGGTCGGAAGCCTCTTTGTGCTCAATCAGCCAGTCGATCAGTTCTTTCGCGACAAAACAGTTTGGGTAGGTTTTGAGATGATGTCGCCTGTCTTTAATAACCTTTTCTTCATGCAGCCTGAGCCTGGGAAGAAAATTTGGCAATCATGTTAGCAATCTTGACGACAATACAAATTATTAAACCAACCCCGGAGCAGTGACACTCAGAGCTTACAGTCAGCGGGGGATTGCCACTCTGTCGGAGCCCAGGGCCCCAGGAAGTGATCCCATCCCCAGACCTTGAGGTGATACAGGTAAGTGGGAGGAAAAAACAGCCAGACAACCTAGAGCTCCCCTGCCACTCAGGACACGGAGAAGAGCTCGCCCCCCTCCCCTACCGCACCCCCTTCTCTCCACCTCTCCGCCAGTGGGCCTACGGCTTCACCCACCCACCCGACAAAACTCCAGAAACTCCCGAAACCAGGTACTTCCTGTCCGTCACAGATTGCTCAGGGCCCACCACAGGTGCATTCGTTTATTCACATGACAAATATGAGTGTCTATTACCTGCCCATTAGGCACTTCCGGGCATTACCGACAAATTCAAAAAACACACAAAGATGCTTGCCGCCTTTAGAGGCCTTGTTTTGATAGAGGCAACAGCTAATCCTTTTGCGAGGCTTTCTGAGTTCCAGGTACCGATTTGAGCATTTTACATAGATTGACTCACTTCATGTTCACAATATCAGTCTCATCAGAAGTTATTATTGCTATCTCTTCTTTCTTTTCTTCCTTCCTTTCTTTTTAAAAAAATTTTTTTATTGATTTTAGAGAGAGTGGAAGGGAAAGGGAGAAAGAGATAGAAACATCGATGAGAGAGAACATTAATTGGCCGCCTCCTGCACGCCCCCCACTGGGGATCGGCCCCACAACCTGGGCATGTGCCCAGACTGGGAATCGAACTGGCGACCTCTTGGTGCATAGGTCGATGCTCAACCACTGAGCCACACTGGCTGGGCCCTTCCTGCCTTTCTTACAGCAGAGAAAACTGAGTTCTCAGAGACATTAAGTCTCAGAGACTTGCCTAAGACCACACAGCTAAGCTTTGAACCCCGATGGTCTCATTTCAGGGTCCAGCTTTTCAATGTCAACATCATGCTGCCTCTAGCTGGTGAGAATTAATAAAAACAATCCAGGAGATGGAGCAAAGCTATTCGATAAATACAATTTATTTATAGGCTGATGGATGAGTATGGAGGTGAGTGGTTGACACAGGGCCTTCACTCACTCCCTTCAGAACTCTGACTTTTTCTAAAAGTCTTAAACCTGTCTGAACAAAGAAGTTTCTCCCACGCGTCTCCCCTTCTTCGACCAGCCTTGCATTTACTCTGGAATCCTCAGGTGAACCATGAGGTCAGCTTTCTTCCTACGTCACCCACATGGCCCATCTGCTGCTACACCTGACGCATAGCAGGTCTCACCCTCTTCTGCCCCTCTCCCTCAGGAAGGAGCCAGGTCATACTCTCACCTGGTTTATGGCAGAGAGCACTGAGTGATATCTCATGGGATTTGCTATCCCAAGTGTTGTGATTAGGAGTTGGGAGCATAATGAGCTGGAGCTCGGAGGCTAAGCTGCTCTTCCTTGCTGGACCCTGTTATGGGCTGAGCAGTGTTGCCCTAAAATTCTTATGTTGAGGTTCTAAGACCTGGTACCGCAGAATGTGGCTGTATTTGCAGACAGAGTCTTAAAGGGGGTAGGGGGAGCGGTGGGGAGAGATTAACCAAAGAACGTATATGCGTATTTGCATTGTTCACAGACCGGGCAACAGGGTGGTGAAGGTCTGGGGCAGAGCGGGGGCCAGCGGAGAGGGGCAACAAGGGGAAAACGGGGGGAGATCTGTAAGACTCTCACAGTAAAAATAATTTTAAAAGGCATGGATGAATTAAATTACAATGAGGTCAGCAGGTCAGTACAGTTGGTGTTCTTATCACAGGAGGAGGTTAGGACACAGACATGGAGGACCACGTGAAGACACAGAGAGAAGGAGGCCATCTATGAGCCAAAAAGAGGCCTCTGACAAAGCCAACCCTGCCAACGCCTTGAGCTCAGATTTCTAGCCTCCAGAACTGTAAGGGAGTAAACTTCTGTTGTTTAAGCCACTCCATCTGTGGTCCTTTGTGTGGCAGCTGGAGCTGACTAGGAAAACCAACTGTGGACGTCTGGAGGCTCCTGGGTAGTCTGGGGACGGAGGGCTCTGCGGGGCGCCAGCAGGGGGGCGGGGACAGGAGAGAGAAATGCGTCCTGACATCTATTAACTGCATAAAAGAAAAGAACCACTTTATTTTTTTTAAATATGTTTTTATTGACTTGAGAGAGAGAGAGGAAGGGAGATGGAGACAGAGAAAGAGAAACATGGATTGGCTACCAAGAATTGAGCCTGCAACCCAGGCATGTGCCCTGACCGGGACTCAAACTGGTGACCTCTTGGTACACAAGACGATGCTCAACCAACTGAGCCACACTCGCCAGTAAAAAGAACCATTTTAATGGAGTTCCCACCATATGCTCGGTATTATACTAAGCGTTTCCACACATGCTGACTTAACTAACTGCTATGGCCTGACGCCTGCACCACCCCCCTCCCCACTCCAACATTCCTGTGTTGAAATACTGAACCCCAGCCCGGCTGGTGTGGCTCAGTGGTTGAGCATCGACCCATGCACCAGGAAGTTGCCAGTTCGATTCCCAGTCAGGACACATGCCCAGGTTGCGGGCCCGATCCCCAGTGGGGGGCATGCAGGAGGCGGCCAATTGAGGTTCTCTCTCATCGATGTTTCCATCTCCCTCTCCCTCTCTCTTCCTCTCTCTCTAAAACCAATAAAGAAAAAATATTTTTAAAAAATACTGAACCCCAAATGTCTAACCACTATGCCTGAAACTAATATAATATTGAATGTCAACTATAATTCAATTTTTGAAAAAAAGAATTTTTAAATGAATTTTTAAAAGAAAGAAATACTAAACTCCTAAATGTGAGTTGAGGACAGTCAGGAGCACAAAACTCGGAATGTGAACTTAGCTTTCGCCCTGACCTGTGATTTCAGGCGAGCAGGCTTCCGAGCACGAGTCCCGTGGGTAGAATGGCATCCCCCTGACCACACTGTCACAAAGCTCACCAGGAAGGATCAAGTCGGTCTCCGCGCCCATGTTAAGTGCTAGGCTCAGCTTTAACTGCTTTACTGGTTTAATCCTCATGCCAACTCCCCGAGGCAGGTCATGTTAAAACCACAAATGATACCCATGGAAAGGTGTAATTATTAATAAAAAAATAAATGAACCCTAATTAAAAAAAAAAAAAACATGTTCACAGAGGTGCGCTAAAGCCATCACACGAATCCTTCTAATGAATTCAGTGACGACAACACTGAGCAATTTGTTTAACGTGCTCAAAGGGGCAGACTGCAAAACATTAATTCTTAGATGTGCTGTCAGGAATTCAAGAATAATGAAGACCAATTTATTTAGAAATTGAAGTGTGGGATAAGCTACCATATAATTGAGTGGAAGAAAATAGGTTATGAGCCAAAAGAGGAGTTTCAGCTTCTGTAAACTCCGACTTAAAAAAAAAAAAATGAGGTAATGTTTATCTTTAAATACTACAGAATAGGACCTTTCAGTTACTATCCTTTCATGAGCCCCAAGCTTGGTCCTACTCCTTGAGCATATCTGATGCCCACGGCTCCCCCCTGCTCAGTGGGAAAGCCCGAGGCAGCACCCCCCAGCCCACCAGGGTCAGGCACATTTCCATGCTCAGAAACTGAGCAGAAATATGATGGAGGGACAAGAACTCTGGATCGGGAAAAGAGCATAAATCTTGATATTTTTAGACATGTTACCAGGAGTTAAACATGCTCAGTAACTGCTACCATCTTTTTTTTTTCTTTTCTCTTTTACTCAGAAACACAGACTTCTAAAAATGAGCATTGAGCTCTGGTTGGGTGGCTCAGCTCTGGTTGGGTGGCTCAGTGGGTTGGAGCATCATCCGTACACCAAAAGGTTGTGGGTTCGATTTCCAGTCAGGGCACATACCTAGGTTTTGGGTTTGATCCCCAGTCAGGGCAAATATGGGAGGCAACCAATGTTTCTCTCTGACATCAATGTTTCTCTCTCTCTCAAGTCAATTTTTTAAAAAAACATATCCCCAGGGGAGGATAAAAATAAATAAAAATGAGCATTGAAAATTATACATTCCAGCCCTGGCCGGTTTGGCTCAGTGGTTAGAGTGTTGGCCCGCAGACCAAGGAGTCCCAGGTTCGATTCCGGCCAGGTGCACATACCTTGGTTGCAGTTTATCCCTGGCCCCAGTTGGGGTCATGCTGTGTGGGTGGCAACCAATCAATGTGTCTCTCTCACACTGATGTTTCTCTCTCTCTCCCCCTCTCTCTCTCCATCGCCCACTCTGTCTGAAGATAAATGTAAAAATATCCTTGGGTGAGGATTAAAAAAAAGAAAATTGTATATTCCAGAAAAAAGTAGCCCAATAAAGAGGTAAGAATTTTTACACTGCAAACACATAATTAAGTGTTTTGGTTGGCACCATAGGTCCTTAATAAAATTTGGTGAACAAGTGAATGTACAAGGGCACTCATAGAAATGATGCTATTTTTTCAAAAAGGCAAAGAGGCTTCTCACTAACTTAATAGGAGGTTCCACCCCACAACTTAGTAACCATCTACTATCGTGAAATTTGTCTAAGTCTTTTAAAAAATGATTCACGCTTTCACATCTAGGGTAATCAATTTCTGGAATTTTAATCCTGTGTGTGTGTGTGTGCTTTACAAAAGCATTTATTTTGCCCTGGCCGGTTTGGCTCAGCAGTTAGAACGTCGGCCTGTGGACCAGAGAGACCTGGTTCCTGCTAAGGGCACGTACCTCGGTTGCGTTTGTCCCCAGACCCTGTTGGGGTTGTGTGGGTGACAGCCCTCAATGTGTCTCTCTCACATCGATGTTTCTCTCTCTCTCTCTTCCCCTCTCTCTCCCTCCCGCTGTATCTGAAGATAAATGCAAAAATATCCTTCGGTGAGGACAAAAAAAAAAAAGGTTAAAAAAGCATTTATTTTTATTGAACTAAACTGACCCCGCAC